AAGAAACTATGATTATTATTTGTCGGGGATGATGTTGAAATGTTAAGTGCACGTCCTTGGGCCACACTTTAACAATGCGCATTTAGAGAATATTAAGAAAAGTGCATTTATAGAGATCAAGTATATATTTGGGCCAGAACTTGAGTATGCATTTAGAGAGGGTGTGTGCACTTAGAGATGTTTGACTGTAGGTGGATTTTAGTGGGTTTATATTTTTAAATCGAGACCCCAAATTTTTAGCATCATCCGATTTCAGCATCATCCCCGATATTATTTAAGAAACCTTCACATCAATTCCACATGAATAGGGTTCTAATATAAAAATTAGTAGCTTGATGGGAATTGCTTAACTTTCAAAGGTGGGTAACAAGAATAATGATTAGAATTTTTCTACGTACGTACAGTACGTACAGAACTGTCTAACCATTTTAATCATGTTAATCACTTATTGTGAATAGCACAGATCGACATCTTATTTGGTTGATCTTCTAATAATAATGGGGATATGATAAAAGGGCTCTATCGGCATTCATTTCTTAAACTTTTTTATTCATCTGTTTGTAACACATAGATTTGATTTGCCAAGAAAAAAAATGAAAACAAACGAAAAATTAAATATACCCTTATTTAGATAAGCGTATATACATGAGGTGAGGTTATATGTTATACCTGTATATCGTATAACAAATGCGTATACTATCTGCTATATATATATATAACAAATGCGTAAAATTAATTTTTTTTTAAAAAAAAAAAAAATGTCTGAAAGTATTAACGATCCTGAAACGAATAGTAATTTTAATGCCAAAGACCAACACAAAAAAAAGGTATGTTTTTAATGCTTTAAGCGAAAAAAAATGTAAATTAAGCTCCGTTCATTCCTAGCATTAGATATCTAATGTAGAGATAACTTTTAAAACAAAGTGAATACATAGTACACTTTTAAAATTTATTTCTAAATGTGCACACCTATAATGGCGAATTGAATTGAACTTTAGATTCATTTACTGTATCAATTCGAAAAATTCTATATTTAGGGAAACTCGGTTTTACTTACTTTAAGCTTAGCTTTTAAATCGATAGGTAACTATTTCTATTTAAATTCGTTATCTAGTTTCAAAAATAATAATTTACCATTTTTCTTAAAACTATAGGCATTGTATTTGGTGATATTGGTACTTCTCCCTTATATGGTATGTACATGAACCCTGCTCTCTTTTAACAACTGTTCAGAATC